CCCCCCCCACCCCGTCTTTAGCTAATGCATATTAAGGATGTTACTTTTTGTGAAATCTGTGAAACAGCAAACAAAAACTCGTCGTTGGAATAAAGAAATTAAATACTGCATAATGACAGCCTGCAGCTCCAACTCAAATACTTCATTTGATTAATGTTACTGTCAAATCCTCWTTAACCTCTGCTAAATGCAGTGTGCATGCATCATATTAGAAAATCAGCTAAATTTACTGTGAAAATCTAAATTAAATTCTTAGGTTGGAAAAAAAATTTTCTCATTTGGAAAATGTTTTAAGGTTGATGTTGACATCCGAAAAGTATGAGTGGATTTTTTTTCCCTCTCTCCGAAACAACACAGATGTTCAGGAAGCTTGGGGATGTTTTGACTCATTTAAGCTGACAAAGTGGGCGACCTGTTGGTGAACCCTGCCAGAGGAGGAGGAGGAGGAGGAGGAGGAGGAGGTCCTCACTGGTCAGGACCTGCTGGGCCTCGTGGCTTTAAGAAAACTCATTTTAAATATTAGGAATAATAACTTTAAACTCCTCAGTTCATAACAGTAAGTGCATTTTTTGTTGTACATTTTAAATGTAGCCATTTTTTAGAAAATTCCAGGCAATCACCGCTAATTAAAAATTACAGCATGTGCCTATAATGTATAAAAAATTACTTCTGGTTAAAATCAGCCATCAGTTTACTCACCTCCTAATTCAGATCCACTCATTAAAAGGCTTAAATCTTTTTAGTTCTGATATTTGATTTGATTTTTTTGTAAATTTAAATTATCCATTTTTTTGTGAAACTTGGATTTCGAGGACTAACAATCTCCAAGCTGTTGGTTAATTTTTAAAGTTTGAAGTAAATTTAATTATTTCTGCCTAATTGGAAACTTCAGAACACATCTGGTTAGTTAATTCAAGCTGCTGGGATGTCTTTGTCCACTCCATAATTTAATATTTCCATGTCATGAAAGCTGTAAACTCTGGTTTCTGCTTATGTACTGCCCTCTAGTGTCGCTTAAAGAGAACTGCAACTTTTCCTCCTCATCCATTTACTCAACAGTTCATGTCGAACAGACGTGGTGTGTTTGTATATGTCTGAACTGAGCAAAAGACAACACATAAAATCTAGTGTAGTGGGGTTTTTTTCTGTCACCAATTCTGTTGTAACACGATACAGAAATATAGAATTGCTGTCGTCAATGATAAATATAAATTATAATAATTATAATTCCCCCACCCCCGATTTCATCAACTTAAAACAAAGCAAATGCAATAAACAGGACTGATTCAAGTTGTAAGTTTTGACTTATGGTTCTTCTTCTCTGGTACCTCTGAACTGTGGGRTGCCTCAGGGGTCTGTGTTCAGTCCTATTTTATTTTCATTATCCATGCTCCCCTGGGCCACCTGAAACAGAGATTCAGATGTGTGTTTTATTTATTTAAAATATAACCACCTTTAAAGCCTGGTTACATAAAATTTATTATTCTACATGACTGTTTGKCTGGAACTGGATGTCTTCAGAGTTTCTTCAGCTAAACCCTAGAGCAAGGGGGAGTCTTCAACAGCCAGGCCAAGGGCCGCTGTCAGTCCAATACAAGACATTTTATTTTGAAAAAAGACCACCTGTGCTCACACCTTTTTCCTGTGCTTGATTCCACGTGTTATTTTTCCACATATGAGCGATCCTACTCAAGCAAAAATGAGTAAAAACCAAATTTGATCAAAGAACTTATTTTTCTTCACTAATTCATGACAAAGTTGTCTTGTTTAAAAAAGGATGGGGACAACTCAAAATCATCCACTAAAATCTTGGGCACCATTTGGCCACTAACTCAAAATTGTACAATTACTTGCACTTGAGAATTAAAATACACCCTCTGGTATCAAACAATAAAAAATTGTAATTCAAGTTGTTTTCTCATCACATTTAAAATATTGCAACTCTTCTTTTTTTTCTTTTGAATGAGAACTGCTTCCTGTTCAGTTGGTTCATAACTTAGCTGCAGGACTTCTCAAAAAGACCACTTTTTGTTGCAACAAAATTCAAGACTCAATTTAGGCTCTTCGTTTCTGTTTATAAAAGAAGAACAATCAGGCTCCATCTTACACCAGTGACCTTTTAACTCCTTACACTTCTTCCAGTCCCCTAAAGCTGTCTGCTCAAGAGCTTCTAGTGGTTTCTCACAAATATCACTTTTCTTGTTTGAGAACTTCGGGGAGTTTGAGGGAACTTGAACGCTGAAACAACCTTCCTCTAAATGTTAAGATGGAGATATTTCAAACTGAAAACTTTCATTTTAAAAATGCCTTTGTGCTCAATACAACAGCATTAGGACACTTTAGCATAGTATTTTTTTGTTTTGTGTTTTTTAATTTGCTTATTGTATTTTATATTATATAAAAAGTTACAATACGATTTTTAAAATATGCTATGTTATTTTAAAAAATGATGATTCCAGTTTTGTGAATACAAAAGGTCAGATTTTGTATTATGAGTTAGAGTACTGAATGATTTGCTTTTACTAAAACCCATATATTCTTCTAAATAGCTTAATCCTTGTGATTCCCTCGGTACAGCAC